AGGTCTCTAGTGGTTGAGCTTGATCGCATTGATGATTCTCTGCTACTCTTGAGCTACATTTACACATACAAAACAATAATATGTGCTGCGAAACCCTATCTAAAAGGAATAAACATGTTTAGGGTCTGGCATAGGCAAGAGAAAAGGAATACTCACCTCTTATCGCGTTCGCAAGAGTAAGAAGAGCTTGTTTTCGTCCTTCCACCGCTCCCCCTATACCTCGTCTATTGGGCCTCCCTTTCCTCTCCCTTATTTCGATGCTCTCTTTCTCTCTTTCTTTCTCTCTCTCTCTCACTCTTTTTTTTTTCTCTGGTTAAATAGAAACTAGGGTTTATTTGAAGATTAAAAGGGAGCTTATATAGAGGATTTTTTTGTGTGATTTTGGGCCATTGGATCTCAAGATTAAATTATGACTGTCTGATTTTCGGGGTGTTACAATTTACGTAGACATCATCTCTAAATCCTCTCCCTAATAAATTAAGAAAAAAAATTAAAAGGTTAAAGAATGCAGCTCAATATATTTCATTGTCTAGCTAGGAATAGTACCAATTTGAATCTAATTAATTTTAACATAATATCATTGATAAATTTTGTTGAAATATTTTGTTGCCCATATGTTTGATAATTTATTCATCTTATATCAAAATTCATATTAAATTAACTTTTTTTTTAACTTTTATAATTGTTCTATATTAATTCTATCTTATTATAATTTTATATAAGTAATAAGTTTTATAATAAAAAAATAAATTTTCTTAATTTATGGTCTTGATAGATTATATTTAAAAAATACAATAACTACAAAAATGAGTTTTTTTTATTTTTATTATATAATTTGCAATTATATCACTTGAATCAGTTGGGAAAATATATTATATTAATTAAACGTCTTAAGCATTTATAATTTTCAGTTCGAACATTATATCTCATGATCTCACATGATTAAAATCAACTTTTGAGTCACAAAAAATAAAAATTTCGTCAAGTGAATGTTGAAAAAGATAGAGTGTGACATGTTTAAATTAAAATCAATTTTAAATTAATTTTTTTAATGGTTCAAAATGGAGCTCGAGACATGATATATTTCGTAATTTCAAGACAATTAAAATAGAGTTATATAGATAAAAGATCAAATGAGTGCCTAAAAGGAAATACTTATGAAATTACAAAAGAAACGAAAAGGAAAAAGAAAAAAAACAGAAGATAATAAGCCTACAAATTAGGAAAATGGGATAAAATTAGGATAGAATATGTCATTATGCAATTAAATAATTACAAACAGAAGACAATTAGCTTACAAATTAGGAAAGTGGAGTAAAATTAGGGTAGAATATGTCATTATCCAATTAAATAATTTGTAAATATACATAATTAAATTTCTTGAATTAAAAATCTTTAAATTTTTGTTAGGAAAAAAAAATTCAAATTTAGTCTACAAATTTAGGCAAGAAAAAACAAAAAAAAATAATTAGTCTAAAAATTAAATAATTAAGGTAGAGTACGTCAATACGCAAATAAATGATTTTACACTATTATTTCAAATTATCGAGTTTAAGTAGGTAAAAAATAATAATAATAATGCAAATTAAATGCCTAAAAATATATAATAATAAAATTACAAAAGAAATTAAAAAAAAACAATAGGCCTACAAATTAGGAAAGTTATTGAATTAAAAATCTTTAATTTTTATTTTCCTTTTTGAGGAAAAAAAATAAATCTTCAACGATTTAACATGTCCAATGAACAGCTTATTTGGGTTTTTTTCCTCAATGATTTTGGTAAGTAAATGCCTTAATAGGCATAATTTGTACTAATGAAATTACAAAAAAGGAAATAAAAAAACAATTGACCTACAAATTAGGAAACTACCGTAGAATATGTCAAAGTATGCAACTCTTGAAGGTACCAACCAACCGAGAAACAGACCAGACTCCCTCATATATAAACACAATATATGTACATTACGTACAAGTATATATTGCAACCCCCATTGTCAATCAGTT